TCCTTCCTTCCTTCCTTCCTAAAAGTGTCAATATATACAGCAGTGTATACAGTATAACTTAAAAATTAATAATCCTCATAATGAAAACTAAAGGGGGAAAAGTCCTCTGGTTCTTGGGATTTCATGAGATTCTGGGAAGATCTCATTGCACAGTTGTTTCTTTAGACTGATCCATTTGGATTCTATGATTGGGCATCCTTTCCTGCTTCTTTGAACAATGATCTCAGTCTTAGAAAGCATCACTGAAGCATGAGCAGAAGGCCTTGTGTTTTGGTATATAAAGAAACAGAAGAGCTAGCAATCAAGGCCTGATAGAAAGGCAATGACCATGGCTAGGCTGAGTTACATTTAAGTGGTGAAACTTGATCGCCATTTCTCCCAGCGTCTCCAGGGCATTCCCAGCCTGGTTGCCCTCTAGATGTGTGGACCAGTTCCCAGAATCCACTAGCCAACATGTACACTGCTAAGAATTTTGGACATTTATCTGCACATGTAGAGAATGCCCAGGTTGGGGAAAGATGTTTCAGAATTTACCTCTTAACTAAACCCTAATCCTGTGCTCCAGGTGCCCTCTGTGGAACCAAAATAGACTTCTAGCTTAGGGATCATAGCAACAGGAGCCCTAGGCAGAGTTCCCCCCCCCCCCCCCTCTGTGAAGATATGATCCCTTTAACGGGTGAGATCAGTGACTGAACTTGGACGATAGGGAGCTGCCTGAATTACTGGCAGAGCTGCTATTATAATATATTTTATATTTTAATGTTTCTTTTACATGTTCATCCATTGGCTGCTCTGAAGGTCTTCAGCTTGGAGAGTGGGGTATTCAATAACGATAACAAATAATGGCATCACACATGAAATGTGAGGTGCCCTTGGGGAAGTTGTGGGCGTTTGATGCCCTGAGATGTATCTTTGTCTTGAGTAATACAAGTTTAACAGAGCAAGAAAAATGCAGGACACCTGTTTCTTCTCTCAAGCAGCTTATGATAGTTCTTAACTAATGAATTTGTGACAGGCATTTTCCCCTTCTCCTGAGCTAAATGTGTCAGATGTCCCTCCCTCCCTCCCTCCCTTTTTTTTTTTTTAATGAAAGATACACCAAATGAGGCCGTTTCCTTTGAAAAATAGAGATCCTTTCAGAAGGATTCAGTAATTGATTTCTAAGCTCATGGACTGTTCAAATGCCTTATTCAGGAACTTTCAGACTTTAGGAAATCTTTTTGACCTCAACTTGTCTTTGCCAAGAAATCTTTGTATTTCTGCCAAGAAGAAAATTGACTGTAGTGATGAAGATTGGAGAGACCTATTTTGGGATGGCTTTCCCCAATCTGGTGACCTTGATTCCATTGGATTTCAGCCCCCATCTTCCCAAGCAGCATGGGGGAATGGGGGAGAATGACACTGTTTAGCCAGAAACAGTCTATTCCCAAATTTTATCAGTAGTGACCCATCTTGTAGAACTGTACCCCAATTCTTGTGCTCTTAAGGACTAAGCCCCAAGGCAATTGGGATCTGATAAAGCTGAGCCATGCAGGTACATGGGGTATCAGCTCCCATCTGGCCCAGATTGTGTGGCCAATGGCAGGAGGAACATGTGGAGAGTCTCAGGTGGACTGCCTCTATGGAATGACTTGTAAGCACAAGGTGGTTCACCCCATCATCAGGAATGGATACATGGGAGCCAAGTCACTATCCCCAGAAACCTGTGGAGCACTTGAGATGGAGTGAGTGCTTGTACAACTGGATTGGGACAGAAGAGACCCAGGAGCCTTTTCCCACTTGACTGTAAAGCTCCTGTAGGGATTTTGAGTAACCCTCTATTTCTCAACCCAGCCTTCTTCACTGGGTGATTGTTATGAGAACAATTTCATCCCACAGCTAGCCAGCTAGCCCACCCCCCCACCCCCCAGCGCCCAACTTCTGGAAAAGGATCAAGAGCAGGAAACTGTTCCAGCAGGGGGCAAACCTGAACCTACTAGTTAGGGCTGCTTCCCAAGTCTCTCGCACGCCTGTCGGTGAATCACTCTGAGCCCGTCTGGTGAAATGATAACTCTTCAGGAATACAGATAATGCTTTAGGTTTAAATTTATGACCGGGTGTTTCCTAGAACCAAGCCTGAGTGGATTTTGGAACTGTTGGACAGGAAATAAGCTAATAATGGGATTTTTGCAAGGCAAAGTTTTCCCATATATGGGAGTAAAATTTGCCATAGGTTAGATGCTGACCTCCCGTCTGTTTGGGTGAATCTTTTTCAAAATGTCTTTGTTCTCCTTGCTCATGTGCCACAGCGAGGAATGTGCTGTACATCCAGGCTGTGGGATCCCTGTGAAGGTCACTTTACATTTTTATTCATTCATGGGTGTTGCATCATGACACAAATCACAGAAGAGTATTTTTGTTACCAATTCGTCAGTGGATTCAGTTTGTTTAACCCTCACTCTTTCCTCTTCCCACAACACACAACTGTGTTTCACAGTCCACTACAGATATCTGGGGAAACCTCTCCCTTAACCCTTCCTTCTTATTCATCTCTCTTTTTCTTGTCATTGCAGTGCACTCTGTTTCTTTTTCCTCCCCTACCGTGGACTCTCTCTCACACTCTGAACGGGTGCCAATATTGCACTAAGCTATTGTTGCAAAAAATTGTGGTCCAGAGATGTCCAATTCCAGAACCCCTTTCTGATCCCTAGAGGCCACAGAGCTAACGTGTTTGGTTCTCTTTCTGAATGTATTTCAACATTGGAGGTAGGGAGGCAAAATGAATGGCTTAATGCTTGCAGAAGCTCATGGAGTCCTTTTCAACCCTGAACTTGCCCCACCTCCCCCATATTCTGGCCCTGTCCATCTTTGTCATGTGGCTCTTCATGTACTGTGCAAACCCTAGCATGGCCTTTGACCTGATGGTATTTGCACTGAAACAGCCTTTGTTGGTTTGATATTGGCTTAGTGCAATGGATGAACCCAGCTGTTGGATTTCACAAACCCTGCTTCACGGTTCAGCAGGATGGACTACTGTAATGATCTGTGGGAACGACCTTGGGAGACAGGAGGAAGAGCCACAGACTGGACAACCTGTAAAAGATGTCTCAGCCCACAAAAAGAGAGGGGACATGGGAAGTGTTTCAGAAGGGACCCTCCCTAGTTTTCTGGAGAGTAAAAGGAGGAGGGGGGAGGAATACTTTCAGACTTGCAAGATTCTGTAATGTCACCTTACAGTAAAGATACAGCTGGTATTCGTTGTGGTGGTTCTTGTCTAGACCAGGGTTCCTCAGCCTTGGCAACTTTAAGACGGGTGGACTTCAACTCCCAGAATGAGCTGAAGTGAAACCCTGGTCTAGACTACCCCTGAAAGGCTAACAATTTCATGATTCAGCATGATGTGGCTGGGTTTGCCCACCACACTAAACCATTGTTTCTTTTTTCCCTGTGCAGTGACATATTTGATGCCATGTTCCCTGTTACCCATATTGCTGGAGAGACCGTAATTCAACAAGGTGAGCTTCACGTATGGAGAGCAACCATCACTGTTGCCATTTCCCAGATCATCTGTGTTAGAGAAAATGGGCATGCCTTGATTCCATTAAGGATGTAGAGAAATCCACGATTGAGTCTCTTCTGCAAAGTTTATATGTATGGATGCTGGGTCCAAAAGCGTTCATTTTCTAAGCAGAAGCAGGGCGTGGGCTTCAGTCTTTCCTTCCTATCTCCCCACCAGCCATTTCCAAACCCTGGGAGTTTCCATTATGGACACTATGTAGTACGTTGGATTCAAAGTTGATAAGAGACTTGGGACTGTGCAGGGAGGCATATGGAACATCTCTCTGCAGCGCCTTAAAACCGAACATATTTTTCCCAAGATTGTGCTGCAGTTCCTCACAGAGCTGCCAAATGTCAGTGCAGGAATAACATTCCCAGCCCAGGGGCCAATTTTATAGATCTACAGGTGGATGAGGAACACCAGCTCCACTCAGTCTTGGTCTGGATTCCTACACTGAATTGGAGGCTGGTCTTAATAACAGAAACATCCCTTCCGACTTAGGATTCTCTGATCAAGGAAAATGGAGTATTTTCAAAGCTTGTGCAAAATCATGCTCTGAGTGTTGTGCTCTGATTTGTTTTTCTGTTTCATGCAGGTGATGAAGGTGACAACTTCTATGTGATCGATCACGGGGAGGTGTATGTAAGTTGCAATTCGCTTCTTTGAAGGACTTTCTTTCCCCCTCTTAAATGTCCTTCTTTTTTTACAGAAATTTCCTTATGTTCTGGCTAAGAGATGGACGAGGGAACTTCTGACTCCCCCTTACTGGTGACCTGGAGGAGTAAAGAGGAAAGGAATGTGTGAACCATATTCACACATTGCTCTAAGCCCTGATGGGACTTGTTTAGTGTTGGTTTAGTTATTTATTAAGTTAGTTATTAGTTATTGTGGTTGCAAGTCAGGTTTATGAATGAGCATTCCTGCGTGAACTGCTCTGACTTATTGAACAAAGCCAGGTTAAAGCAAACCCAGCTTCTCAAGAGATTCGAACCCATGTGCCTTGAGCAAGCCATGATGCCAGAACAATGTACTTTGTCACCTGAATCCAATTGACTCTATTTTAAAAGCCCCACTCCCCAGATGAGTCTTCACCCCAAAGAGGTTTGGAGGAGGCTGAGAAGACATTTCAGAAGTAATTTTCCCATGCAGTGCCATCACGAGCCAAACTTATTTGTCTGTATAAAGTCAGTTAATGGCATATCATCAGCCAACAAATTATTTTAGGTTTAGAACCTATAGTAACCATACCTGGAGGCAATATAGTTTACCACTAAACAATCTCAAGATGGAAGGCTATCAAGATGGAATGTGCCTGAAGGGCTGGGTGAAACCGGAGCAAACTGTTTTTGGTAATCATCTAGGATTAGGTTACCTATCTCTCATGCCTTCCATAAAGAATAAGTGGGGAGCCTCAGGCAGGTGGTTTTCATCTTCAGAAAACTCAATTTGCTTTTCAAAACTTGTTCTGAAGGGCTGAAACTTTGCCCTGGTGATGCTTGCAAATGATGGCTTCCATTCTGACTGGTCAGGTGGGCCTGGAAATTGGGCCCCAGGCATTCACGGGGAAAGTTATGGAATGGCTGAGAACAGATGCATTTTTTTAAAAAAATGAGCTTTGATTTTGTATCCAACCACGTTTGGAATTGGGAGATACGCAGAAACAGAGACCTTGGACGGCTGATGCTATTTAGTGGCCTGCTATGAGTTATTGATCTTTTAAAATTTTTCACTTTATTCTAGTTGGGAGGACATTGAATGCTGCATTTGGAATGTTCACCTTAAAAGATGGCTTATAATAATTATTATTATGACTGCTATCATTACTATTATCCTTTTTGTTATTGTCACCAACATCTAGAAGAGCAGTTGAACAAAGATGCCTCCGATCATTTGTGACGTTTTCTTTGGAATTATTCTTTTCTTTAAAAGGATGAGACAGATGATCTTTCTGTGGCTTCCTAGATAATATCATCATACGGTCTGACAGTCCTTTCCCACCCGGGTTCTATTTTAAGAAGCAACTAGCATATTTTAAGCCACCCAGCAGTGCCTTGCAGCTATTTGGGGAGACATAGCCTCTTTTTATGGAAAGCCTTTGGTGTGTCAGGAGGCCATCTAATTGGCATTGTTGGGAATTGAAGGCCTCCCCCTCCATCCCAAAGTCACTGGCTCCTCAAGGAATCCATCTGACTCATTCTTCCTACTGGGGAAGGTACGATGCCTGAGTTTGAAGCCTGCCACATCGGCAGTGCGAGGAAGGAGAGGAAATACGGTTTAGCAAGGATGGTAATGCTGATAACTTTAGGGTGGCATTTGGTTTCGGTTTTCAGATCAGCAGTGCCTGGTTTGAACTTGTTGTGGAGCACCAATTCCAGCCTAATCTGAGGCCGGAGGAAAAAGATTGTCAAGGAAAACCCAATTATTTCAATCAAAACCTGTTGTATATTTTCCTTGTTTATTTTGCAAATGACTAGATGTTCTTCCAAATCCCTGTTAAGGACTCACACGTCTTGGCCAAAATCTTAGAGACTGCCATCCAGCAACACACTTAATTGACCCATTTTGGAGGTTTCCATGATACGAGGAATCATAAACTAACCCCAACGAGCTGGAATTATACATACAGTGATCCTATTTTCTTGGAAAAAATAAGGGACCAACTGAAAAAGGGGCAAATCTGAATAGGTTCATAAGGTTAAAAAAAAATTGTTTATGTTTATAACTTCGCTTTACAAAGGAAAACTCAAGAGCAAAACCAAGGACGTATGGTCACTGCATTTGTACATCATGTGAACCCCCCTTCCACACGCATAAACACACTGGCTCAGGTTATTACTAACCCAGCTTCACATGTTGCATGAAAGTACCTGCTAGTCCTTCACCTGATCTGGCCATTACCTTCATCACTTCCTGCCCTTAACCTAAATGGAAGAGATTAAGAAGAACCACTTCTTCTGTGGCTCGAAACATTAACTCTGGAAACTGGACTGCCAATTCTCAAGGTTTTGCTGCCCGATGTTGAGGCAATGTGGGGAGTGGCAAAAAGGGGGCTGGGGCTGCATACCTTCTGACCCACAGATTTCCCAGCCCTGATACGTAAGAAAGAGATGAGCGCCATCATCTCCTTCTACTTATGAAATGTCATTGTCCCTAATGAATAAACTGGTGGCTGGTCCATTTGTCCACAGTACTCTTGAAATCTGCTGCGCTGGGGTTACAGTTTGATCAGCAAGCTGTAACAAGACACGGCTTGTTATTTCTGAGTCAGAAACTCCAAATATGGAACATAGTTCCACTAGATAGGAGATCTGTTCCGTTTTTGTGGTCAGGCTGCAGCCTCGGTAGCTGTGGAAACAGGCAGTCTGCCCAAACGTTTTGGGTCAAAATAGAAATAACAGGCTTCCCGTAAAAAATGTTGAAAGTACCTGCTCTGAAGTGTGGGTTTTTGACAGGCCAAAAAAAAAAAAAAAAAATTAAATAAAAATAAAATCTCTAATCCGTAGTTCTAAATATAAACCCTCCGGGTGGTTATTTTAATTTTACAACCCTTGCTGATTGCCGTTGCTGTTTTTTCACCCCTTCTGCTCTGCAAAAAGAAGCGTGGTCAGGCAGAATTTTCAAAATAGAGACTTGTTTTGAAAAAAATATTTTTGAAAGGAAGTTGAGGAGAGTCAATAACCTGCTAAAAGCTGCACTTTTTTCTCCAGTTTCAGAGGTTGCCTTCTAAGCCTGCAGCAACAGGCTGGGCCTGAGGACTTAACAAATGCATATATTAATGAATATCTATATATTAAATGAATATATATTGAGGAGTGACCTCAAAGGGAGTTCCCTAGAAGTAAGCCCCACTGCTTACTTTATTCAGTGGGCCAGTGCTGGGCTGAGGCTGGGTCACACCATCTGAAAGGTCCAAAGCTCCATTCCCTTGTGCCACATCTCTTCTTTCTCTCAATGGTGAGTGGAAAAAACCAGCTGTCAGCAAGGGAGCATATGGTGGGAGGTCCAGAGATCATCTTGTCTATGAGTCACAAAAAAGCTGCTGTGTCTCCACAGGATTATTCACATCAACAGGGTGAGCATGGCCATTATAAAGCCTCATTCCCCAGTGTCCCAGTTGAGGGACTCAAAGCCACTGCTGCAAATAAATATGAGGCTTGTGGCTGGTTCTTCACTTTCCCCATGCCAGATTTCTATTTCACTTTTTAGATGGAAACAAAAATGAAAAGGTTTGGTAGGACAGGTGAGTATGGTGGGCCTCAAGGGAGGCATATGAGATACATTGCTACCTGTAGGCATCCCGCTGCCTGTCTTTGGTGTCAATGAAAAGTAGGGGGATCTTGAGTTCAGCTAAAATGTTTTGTATATCCCATGCATAGCTGGGGTGGGCAGGAGAAGAAGGTGCACAAAATGTTGCAAGAAGAGTCTTCTGTCTGTCGATACCATCCCCAATTGTTGGAGATATGGTCATGGCTGAATTATGAGTTGTGCCGACCTTGCTAAAGAAAGAAAGATGGGTTAAGTGGGGCCTATTGCGAAGAGAGCCATGATTCATATCAAAAGGGATGGAAAACAATAGAGGTCCAGAATGTTTTTGATCTTCAGAAAGCTGCAGGCTTTGGCAGAATCATCACTCTTCATATTTGGGTATCTCCAACTCTGCATTCCTTTGCAGGGACATGAAAGTGAGAGAGAGGGAGGTCGGGGGGGGGGTGAGAGAGATCTTTGGCTACTGTGTAGATGGGCTCAGCTGCTCCAGCAATAGAAAAGGAATTTTGGCTTTGGTTAACCCACGTTTGCACAGTCCCGTTGATAGATACCTCAGCTGAGCAGTGTTTAAAGTTTTGTTCTGAAATAATTCCTTGATCTTGCACAGATCTCTACAGACCAAAAAAAATAAATAAATAAAATTGTGGGTCTTTCTTTGATTTCCGTCTTCATCCTCTCCCTATACCAGTCAACACATACCAGCTTTTAATCGTGTCATTGTGACAGTGATGTTGAAGAACACCCACTCCCCAAGCCCGGGGAGAAACAGGAAGGGGGACATCAGCTAGGAGTGTCATGGTGAATTCCAGCTGCATTCACACATCCTGCTAAGCCTGGCTGTTTCCAAAACTATCTATTCTTGCACAAGCATAAAGGTCTGATTTGCCCTCAGGGTGGACTTCAGCTCCTTGCAGCACAACCTAGTACAGCAGGGTTTCTCAGCCTTGGCGACTTGAAGAGGTGCGGACTTCAACTCCCAGAATTCCCCAGCCAGCCTTGGGAACTGAAATCAGAACTTTCTGAGGCTTCAGGTTGCTTATTTCTGCACTTAGCAGAAAGAAACAAAATGATGTTATGACAGTCCAGAGGTCCCCAAACTCTTCAGCATATCCACCCTTTCATCAAGTTTCAGATTGTCCATCGACCACCAAAGATTTATGATATGAAAATAATTTAATAAATACTCATAGTACTAAAAAAAAGAATAATGATAATAATAAGAATAATGGAGAGTCCCATTGACCCTTAGTGTTTTGGATGAACTGATCTCTGGGTTAGAAGAGAAGAGATCTGGCCATGCAGTCATGCTTAAGATCATGTCCTGGTATGAAGATGGATCCCATCCCAAAGTATTTGCTTTCCCAAAGTTTTCTTTTGCTTTTCCTCCTAAAAAGGCAGCATAAAGCCTCCAGCCTTCCTTTCTCTCTAGAGTCCTCTTTAAAGTCTCTTTTTCCCCCCTGAAATGTTTGCTTCAGACTGTCAGTCCATCCAACAGCTGGTGCTACCCAAGATGAATGGAACTAGGACTCCAGGAATTTCATTGGGGGTTTATCCATACAGCTCTGCCTTTTGTTCACTGGGTAATATCTTAACATTGAGTAGCAAATTTGGGTTGTTACATCTCTGGAGGTGGGGGTTGGGGGCAACACTGTCCCCAAGGAGCAGATTTTAAAAGCTTTTGTTTCTTGAATCAGAAAGTGCCCTTACACCATTCCAATTTCTTTTCACCTCTCTGCATTTATTCTCAGGAAACCAGAAGGCTAAAGTAAGCTGGTGTTTAAAAAGATTTTCATCCAAAAGGACTGTCTTCCTTCCTTCCTTCCTTCCTTCCTTCCTTCCTTCCTTCCTTCCTTCCTTCCTT